TACCCAGTTTACCTATTTGCTCCTAGAGAGAGAGAGAGCTTGCAGTAAAAAGTGCGCGCGAGCAAAGTTGAATTTCTTTCAATCGATAATACCTACTATTAAAAACTTACGAAGCCCCGGCCTGCAAGAGTTTCAAACGAAATAGCACATAACTTTGGGACAAACTTTCAATATTCAGCCAGCAGCAGCTATAGTGCGCGTCGCGAAGGTTATACCTCGTCGAATATGTAGCGCGCGCGCCCGGGCGTCCATCGGCTTTTTTTCCACTATTATTCTCGTTGAAAAAGTAAATAGCAGAGAGTTGGCTGGTGCCCGCGTACGGAGTTTTTTTGTCTCGCTTCCCTAATTTACGATCTCGATCGTCGGAGATTTATGTGCGGGCCCATAGGCATATAGAGAGAAGCACGAGCTCGACGTTGAAAAAAAAAGTCCGCACGAATCGCGGCGCTGCTCATCAATTCCACCGTATCTTCGATGATCGCATTGATTATACAAACTGCACGGGCTCCCATATACTAAAAGCTTAAGGACGTACATCCCCGCGATCCGTCATTCCGTACAGTATATAACCGGTCTCGTATCGATTGCCAAGGCCGGTTAGTTAATCATTGACTCCGTAGCATATATCTACGCTTAAGCTACCTTTTCTTTTTTCAGCTTGTTGTGGAAAATGGCGTGGTATATACGTCTCGGGGGCTGCCGTAGTAGTAGCGAAATGTGTCGCTCGGTCGCTTATACAGAAGCAATCAAACGCAGATCTTGCATAATAGCCTCTATATATATATACATACGCAGAGTCACGTCAAGCTGCGTACTTCATTTTATTTTTAAAATTGAATTCTCGAGTAAGGTGAGTCTCGGAGTTCGCGAGGGATAGAGACCGATCCATGTCGCTCGCTCACGTATCAGAAGCACATTATACTGACTTTGTATTAAGTACGCGTAGACACGAGTAGTCCTCAGCAGCAGTTATATAGTGGCTTTTCTTTCTAACAAGAGGCGCAGTGGCAGTAGCGCGCTATATTCTATGTATACTATATATGCGCACGGACGGCTCAATCATCCTCAACGTCCATCTTACCCTATAATCACGCGTCGCTATACCTCGTCGTCGTTGCACCTAGTCTCTCGTCGACTCTCAGCCAACTCTACTTCTACTTTGCATCATGCTGCAACGGACCTGCGGGTAATGTAGCACGTGCCCAGTTCACAGAGCGAGCTATATAGCTCGGGTATACAGCTATATAGGTATGTGCACAAGTCGTGTGCAGGTATGGAGCTTTGCGCTAGCTAGGTGATCAACCGTCCTTGGGGACAAAATGTATATTTGCACAATTTGTACATCTCATTCGGAATCTAAGTAACGATGCATTTTTTATTTCCTTCAATTTACTTTTACTCGATACTCTGTAGTATAAGTAGTGGTTGTCGCGAATTCATTCTTGCGAGAGAAAAAAAACCAGCGAGATCGATTTTCTCTCGGTCGTCAGAGACAGGCTCTCTTCGAGCAGAGCTCCGAGTAAAGTAGCAGTATCGAGACTCTATAGTGACTAGCATCTTTAAAAGCTTGTCGCCGACTTCCATACAAATGTCTGCAATGCTGCTGCCGCTGTCTTATATGTGCCATAGAAAGTCGAGTCGAGCTGTGCGCGCACAGTGAAACAGCGACGCGCTAGGCGTCGTCTGCAGCTGCAAGCTCGCGCGCCACGACCGTTTGTGAATAAAGTTTTCGCGCTAGCTCGCTCGCTCGCTGCGCCGTTCTAATTAACCGCGAAGGATGAAAAGCTAAAGGCTTCCTAGATAGATGACATGGACTCGACCTCTTTTTAATCAACGCCTACGCTGCTGCTGCTACTGCTCTGACGCGTTCGATGTTCGTATCGTGAACATCGCAGCGCGAGAGGATATTATTGCCGCGAGGCTGAAGTCACATCTGGAACACGAAGCTGTAGCGACGGATATTGAGATTTTCAAATCTTTCCAAAATCTCTTCTCTCCCCCTCCAAAACAGCATCATAGATTAATAACGAAAAAGAGAAAAACAAAAAAGATATTTCTTCTAGGTAAACAATAGCTGTGCACGAGAAAATTGCGATGATGCCGGTGTGCAATATGTAGCTCGAGCAGACAAGTAGTATCGTGTATCGCGTTTGTGTAATACTTTACCAGCCGTTAATGGACCGCACCCACATCGAGCTGTATCGTAAAATTCTCCTCGCAGGCATAATATACACACACCTACGTGTGTCTGTGTAGTATATGTGCACGCGGGAGCAGTGATGTACGTGTAGCGCATTCGCTACACGCGTTTCTGAGCTTGATGAACTTGCGGTTCGATATACGCATACGTACGTACGAAGTTATATATACTGTATGTATATATTTGAGACGCAACTCTTGCGATAACTCGATGTACGCAGAACCAGAAAGAGAGGGAGAGGCAGAGAACGAAGGATATAAGTTGTGATGGAGTCGGAAACGAGCTTCGTCGAGGCATCTAATTGAATCGTTTTATGCGATGCGTATTTGCGCGGATGCATATTAATTCGCTGCGCATCTACGTTTATATAAATTTTATAGTATACATATAAATCCACAAACAGAAATGTCGTCAAGTAATATAATTATCGCATTTCTAATCATTGACGTTTCGAAGAAGTGTCGTTACTTGAGCTCAGCATCTTAAATGGTTCACCAATATATCGAAGCGCTTATTTTAAAAAAATACAAAACGCCAAAAAATATAAAACAAATTGAGCACCTAAAGTATACAAAAAGGCTCACGAAAGCGGCTTTATCTCGAAGAAAAATCGAGATTTTAGATTTTCAAAAATGCATTGAAACGAGGAGGAAAAATTCTTTCCAAAAATTGAATAATTTTTTTATTTTTTTATTTTAAGCCCCGGCCCCTAAGCTCTTAACGATCGCGCCCGATGGAATATTTTATGCGCGAGAAGCTTCCGATCGGTATTATTTCCACGCGAGAACGATAAAAATTTATTATTCCGTTTGAATATTTCATGAAAGAAATATGTGTCGCACATTTTTTTCTCACGCAAAACTGTATATATCACATGTATAATCTCATGTGCTATACAGCGGTGGTATATATGGGAACGTAGAATTTTTCAGAGAGACGGAGTAAAAAAAAAGTCAAAATTTCTCAAAGGCTCTGGCTTTTGTATTCGATCGCACTTCATGGGTGCAATGCTTCTCCTTGCGCGTACACATTTTCGCCTCGATAAAAACGAAGCAGCCTAGCAGCAGCTACTTTTCACAACTTTTATTAATTACGCCGAGAGCGTTCGGGTCTCTCTGTCTATCTTTCTATACACGCGACTGTATGGCATGAGCTTTCATCGTTCCTGCATGGGGTAGATAGAAACGCGCATTGACTCCAGGTTTGCTTCTCTGATCGCGGTATAGACGCACATCGCGATGAGAGATATAGAACGAGAGTGAGAGAGAGAGAGAGAGAGAGCACGAGCGAAAAAAAGGCTTAGACGACACGTATAGCACGCGCGGGTAGTTGTCAGTTGCTTATTCACAGAAAAAACTAGCCCGAGTAATAACGAAAAGAGCCGGCGAATTGCTACAGGGGAAAAAAGTGCCTCTCTGCCTGCCTGTACAGTTCAGCGCTCGCAACTGGAACGTGAAATTCCAGCTCCAGAAGGTTGGATGCTGCTGCTGGTATATATAGGTACGCGAGTGTACTACTGCTGTATATTTATATACAGCTGAGATATATCTATAGGAGCCGAGATGCATGCAGACAAGGACTATTACGCTACGATGAGCTTCTCGCTCGCGCGCAGCAAGCTTATGCAAGCCATTGCGGGTAATTAGTAGAGGTGGCAATCTATCAGAGAGGGCTAGATGCGCCCCTGTTTTCCCCTGTTTTCCCTCGTGCGCTAAAGAGGATGTCGTTATTCAGGCGACGCCGACGACGACGACGACGATGCCGCCGGTCTTAATCTTACTAACGCTATACTCTCCCGATGACTGCGCCGACGTATGTCTCCACCTTTTTTTTTACCATCCTCAATTCGCTGCTCTTCTTCCGTGCGCGCGCGGTAGTATATGTGCTTTGCAGACAGAGTCAGAGAATGTTTTCTATCTTTTAATTAAGAAAAATAAAAAGCTTTTATAAATGCAGATATACCCTTTACGCCGTGTAAAATGCCTCAACGTTCTCCGTTCTCGGGGCCATTTTAGAAAAGAGGATTACCAATTAAAAGCTTTTCTTTAGTGCACGCATTAATTTTAAAGAAACTCGACGTCGCTACGCTGATTTCGGCTGCAGTTATTCTCCTATAAGCTGCGAGGAGGCAAACAGAACTCTTCTATTCGCGCATTACCATTAGTTCTGACTCTAGAAAGCGACTGAGTCGCGCAAAGACGGCGCAGCGACGTCGTCGTTATGAAAACGAGATAAGCGCGCGAATGGCTGATTCGTATCATTGATAGCTCGTAAAAATGTTGGCAAACAATATATGCGCATATGCTCTTCGCTCGCGCAAGCTAGGAGTCGGTACTATTATACTCGCACTCGTAGACATTTTTGCCAACGACGCCCGCAGTGGCTGCAACGATGTGCACGAGCGAGCAGCTGGCTTATTCGTCTTTACTTTGCCCCACAGAAGCCGCGCAATCACGAGTACTTTTGTCGAGCGGTTTTCGGTGCCTCTCACCCCCTTTACTTGGCACTTGCACGTGAATCTCTCTATATATTATACGTATACACGCGGAGAAGTGCAGCTCGCAGAAAGTTTTAATCATCGAAATCAGAAGCTCCAATCGCTCCGGGCACCAGGAACGGGATCTTGTCCTTGAGTGCAGTTTATACTAGATTCGTGACTGACGCGTTATCTCGCCCTCGCGCAAGCCTCGCTCTTTCTAGAATCTCTTCTGCGGCTTGACATAAGGATGGATTTTATTATCTTGTGCTTTTAATAATCGTGCATTTGAATGAGAAACGGAGCGCATGGTCTCCTTCTTACCTGCGTGAAAAAGTAGTAATAGACATTGAGGCCGCGATCCGCCCAGATCTGGGCGAACTGTATCGACGGACAAATGAAGAAGTAATCGCCAACGATGTCGGCTATCATTCGCTGATACATGTACTTGTCCTTGATGTTCTCCCACTCCGTGTACTGAAACACCAGAAAAGAAAAAAAGGAAGTTAGAGGGAGAAATAGAAAATTCAAAATTCTTGTCTATCGATGACCAAAATTTGCTTATTTCTGGTTCATAAAATTGTACGTTTCGTGGACTAGGGCTCTTCTGTGTGCTACAGTGTTCGATTTATTGTTCAGTGCACATTCCACATACTGTATTGCTCATTCTTTGTCAAAAGAAATGTACCTTTTTACTTACTCTGTAACAATAGAATAATCTCATAGGCATTTCGCCATTGCGAGCACACGAGTTTTAGCATATACGCCATCTGTTGATGAATTAAGAACTTGAACTTCAAGTTAACTAAAGAATTTAAACATTAAAGGTTAATCTTCATCTTTTCAACTTGGGGTTAAGAATTATCAAGATATTTAACTAGTCTTATGGTTTCTTTTGAATGGTAGAGACTTTACTTTCGATAGCACACTTTTTATTTGTTCCATATTAATTTTTATTTTAGGATTAATACGAATTCTTAATTCTATAGTAACTTTTACTATATCAGCTTTTGTAAGTGTGTACGTGCGTGTGTGTTTGGTTGCGGGCATTAAATTTCAAAGGATGCATTTTTTCAGCTAATTTAAGTCCTTTTAGATCTACTACTGCTGCTTACTCGGGGTAATATCTTTACCGCACGCGCCAGAGGAAACGGAGAGCTCCGGGGACTTTGAAAAAATTGCTCGGCTTTGCTTGCAGATTTACTGTCTTTATTCTTCAAGTGCGCGCGGGCGCGAGTCAGAGAGAGAAAGAGAGAGAGCCTTTAGTCAAAGTAACTTCTCAAAGAACGATAAATTTTGTACTCCGAGACTTTTTATATCAAATCAGCTCTTGTACGACAGCTTTTCGATCGATAGTTATTTAAGCGACACTTTTTTCTTTTTTACTATCGCCGCGAAAATTTTGAGTCTTCGATTACGAGGTAAAAGGATTTTCGGGATTACATCACGTGCAAAGAGAAAATTGCGTACACCTTATTTACAATGTCAAAGTAATTAATTTGCGAGCATTAAAAGCGTTACACGTGTGTGCGTGGATGTCATATGCACAACGGAAACTTATTAAATTAAACGCGAAATGTCCAATCTTTGTACCCTCGTAAAGCATCGCATGCGCGCTCACCGGCGTACATAATATCAAATTGCACAACTGATGCAACGTTGCACGAAGCTCGCGCGCATGGTTATACATACTAACGGTCGAGCACCTCGTTATTACTATAATAAGTGGAAATGCTCGAGGTAAAATGCGCCGTCTTCGAAAGAAAAAAAAAATCAGTCGTGAGTAATACGCGCGAGGCCGCAGCAGCAGCCGCTAGGCCGCGTCAGCGTTTTCATTATTGTACGCGTACAGTATACACGTCCGCGTTCACAGGTGGTGTGCGGTAAAAGTATAAAAAAAAAATATGCCGGGATATCGTTTACAGAGAATGCGCCGCAGCCTTGCGCGAGTCATCCAATAATATCGCGCTCAGAGTCGCTTTGTCGTATTACAGCGGTGCACCGCTCAATCTTCCGAACATCGCCCGAGAAGAGAGATCTTTATAATATATTGGATGAAGGGCTCGTGCCTGGAATTTGTCTTATCACACTAGCGCAGTCGTTTATTGGATCGAATATCGCGCGAACGAAAAAAAAATAGAAAAGAAAGGATATTTTCCTTTTCTAATGCAAGCGACGCGCGGGATGATTGATTATATGGCGCGTCTTCCTTTCTGCAAATTTCATCAACCCGTCGCGCGTGGTCGACACGTCTCAATATGCTCAGGTAATTACCTCGTATACATATAATAGTCGCAGTCAAATCAAGGGAGAGTACATACATTGCCATTTATAAGGAGATGCGGTAGACAATCGGCTTAAGGTTCGATAATTAATTAAGCGCAAGAGGCTCGTGTATATATAGCTCTCTCTCTCTCTCTTTCTCTTGGAAGAGCTGATGCTTCTCGCACAGCTCTCGAGAATTACTTTCCGTTTTACAAGCTGTCTCACCTAATTCTACTATACTCGCCTCTACTTTCGTCTTTCTGCTCTCTCGCTCTTCCTCTTCCTCTCTCACTCTCTCTCCCTTATTCTAGCAATCGCTTTAAACTTTCTCCTTTACACCCCGGCGCTCTAAGTAGTGGTGCAGCAGTGGCGCACACACACATACACGTACACGAGATTTAAACAGACATCGCGTAGTGTAGTCTGTAGTTTCGTGACGCTCGTTTCGCTTCTTTCTTTTCGTCGAGTCTTGCCTCTCGTATATTATCTCGTGACTGCATTATCTATGCTAACTAACAATGCAATTGGGACTAAGATAAACACAATGCAAATCGAAGCTTAGTTTCAATTTGTCGCATTTCCAAAATCAATCTCTAGTGTTTAATTAAACTCTCGCTTAGAAGTCGATTGTATAGTGCAATAAGCGTAAGATGATTTCAGTTAGAAAGTAACTGCAATTACGAATTGAAAAAAATCTCAGTTATGAGTAGTATAAATGTTATTTCGTAAAAACATCTTTGGAATGGATACGATCTAAGAAAAAAAAAGAGAGACGAGAAAAAAAATCACAAGATCAACGTGTACGTAATCGGATATGCGATTCGGCCGAGTATCTTACCAGTGCGGTTGCTCATCGTCGGTGGGCTTCTTTCGACTTCGATGATAGAAAAATTCCAAGAGGATATCGTCCAGTTGCTTACACACATTCACCAACCCACACACACGCGCATAGATGGAGGGTACGAGAAAGAAAAGAAAAGAAAAGAAAAAGAAAACGATACGCCCCTGGCAACAAAGTAGATGGATGTACGGTTGAAAGCTCTATTCAGCTTGACCCATTTATCTCGTCCATCACCGAGTCCTGTGTATCTTGAACTTAAGATGGACTTTACACGTGCTTCTCGCGAGCAGTGCGCTCACCTCCCCTGATATTGTGGACTTTTTTGTACGTAGTTTCCCTAACTTTTCAGCCCCTCGCGCTCTCATGAAAAAGCTTCAATGTATGTTTTGATGTGCGTGTGTGTATTTTTCGATGGCGAACGTTCTTTATTCTCCGATAACTTTAAAATGACGCGAGTTCACTTGCGCTTTCGAGTTTTTATACATTTTAGTTTCAACATGAATTTCAAATCCTTTCATTTATTTGGCATTCGCGAGATTTTAACAAAGGTAAAAACCAACAGTGCATTGTACAAAATGAATACATTTTGCTACTTTTAATTCTATATGGTAGGTAAATTTTCATTTTCTGAATATATTCTGATGGAAACGAAGAAGAAAAAATATTTCAGTCAAAAACATGTAATATCATCTATACTTTTTTTTCAATAACAGCTAATCGAACTGAAAAATTGCCAATTGGCCATTCCCATATTTACTAATGTAATCAATAAATCGAATGAAAAAAAGTCGAACTTCCTCTTGAAATCCTGAACATGACTAATGCTTTCATTGAATCTCGACGCACTGGACGCTCAATACGTATGAAAAATGTCCGTTAAATCGTTTCTTGTTCCTTTTTTTTCGCTATTTTCTATCTTTTCTTCTAAGTAATTTCGAACTGGTAAATGTCTTGGGAAAAGCCTGAAAAGCTTTTACGACTCGTTCGAGCAAACAGAGAGCGAGAGAGAGGAGTCCTAGCTATCTTTCGCTTTCTTTTTCTCTTGCACTGAAACGGAGAGGCGAAAGTACCCTTTTGAGTTCTGTACTTTAGTTCCATTATATTCGCAAAATCGTCCAAGTCGTCGGGGGCAATCACTGATGTGGGACCTCAAGGCACCGCTGCTACCTCGCTCAATGTGTATCCAGTGGGTTGTAAATTGAGTTATCACGAGCGCGCGCGCTTACATGCGAGCCATCATATAGGCCGTGTACTCGTCGTCACCCCTTGTCATTATCTTCATTCCAAACACGATTGTAAAAATAGAGAAAAAAATTGTAAAAGACTCGTGCAGTACACCCTCGAACTCTCATCACACGCGGTAATATTTCATTACTTGCCCTCGCGGCCGCCGCGCGTATATATAATTTAAAAGCAAATTTATATTTCACCGTTTTGATGTGTAAACCACTACTGGCTTGATACGGGATCTCTGCTTTTTTGCTACTTTCAGTTGATTAGCATTTTAATTAAATTAAAAGTACGAATCTAATTATATCTGCGCGCACCACCTTGCACTCGTTTTCAGCCGGCGCCAGAAGTAAAAATAATTCGCGCGCGCGGATAATGAGAGTGTCATTACACTCTGATTTGAGACTGTAAATTTACACGCACAAAAAAGCTTTGTCATACGTGTACCGCCGCAAATCGTAGCTGGCTTTTCAAATGCAGAACGACGGCAAATTTCAGCCGTGCACTGGCAATTATAAGTACACGACAGGAAGAAAAAAAATAGATAGAGGCTGCAAAAGAGGTCGTTGTCGCTGATTTGCTTTCCCAACGTGGCATCAGAAACATCTGCCGGGGTGCGCGCGTATATAAGTACACAAAGATCACGTACACAAAGGGTCAAAGCTTAAATATTCCAACGCGCGTATAATATCAGAGCTCGAGCGCGCGCGCGAGTATACGCGGGCTTGCGCGCGTGATGGAGAGACACGAGACGACACGAGCAGGTATGCGACGCCGCAGCAACAGCAGCAGCAGTAGCGTGATAGCTGCGAGAGGAGAAAAAGCTCGCGATGAATATGCTGGACAATGACGTTGCTCTTTGACGCCCTCGGGCGATGCGCGTATAATGGGCAAGTAGTAGTCGTAGGATGCAGCTTCTTTTTTGTGCCTGCTGCAGCTCGTGCCTCGTCTTTTGAACGCGCACCAATATTTTCCAAGCGCTGCTTTTGTTTACATGCTATGCGAGTAAACAACGCTGGTCATCTTATTATATTCTTTAAATCATGCTACCACAAGTTTGAAGCTAAATCCTCTGCTAAACATCAGCTCGGCTGGAACGGGAGGTTGCTGGTTCTTTCGCGATGCTTCATTGAAAAATGTGCGGAAATCTTTCCAAACAAATTTAATTTAAACTTGATCAATTGTCGATGCAATTTCAAGAATTTTATGTATTCAATATGAGTAACTGTGAAACTATGATTATTCCGTTAGTTCATACCTCAATTTTTTTGCGAATTTACTCTCCACGACGAGCGTACTCGAAGACGTTTCACTTAAAAATATAGCACGTGTTTGGGGCAGTTCGACGATTACAATCTCCAGGAGCTATTACGTAGGTAGTTTCATTTTTTAAGACCTATAGACACGCGACAGGGCCCACATGTGGGTTAAGCGAGAAAATGACGTATGTGCGGCGTACATAATGGCATGTATCACGCTTCTCTGTATAGGAGGTGGCAAGAGATAGCTCGAGGCTGTAGGCGAACTAAGTCTCGTTAAATGGCCTGAATGTGCAGCAGCCTAAGGGTCGGAGTCATCGGTCCAGGTGCACTTGACTTTATTTGCTCGCACATATATACACATACGACAAACTTACGACAAGTTTTAGGCTCAATGAATACGAGCATCTCTCCTCTCTCTCTTCTCTCTTTCTCTTTCTCGATGTGTACGCGCGCGTGAGGTAATTTATGGAACTATATGTACGTATATACGCACACAGAATGCATATATTGAAACTTTGGATGGAGGCTCTGTGAGTCATGCTTCTTACGTGTTTAAGCTGCTACTACTATCTGCTGCTGCTGTTGCCGTTTGCAGTACCGCTGCGTGCGAGTGAAAATTTCAAATCAACTGCTGCCTGATGCAATACGCTGCATGTGTTATTAAATTGAACTTTGCGAGATCGAATTAAGATTTTATACGATTAACGAGTCTAGTATTTCTGGTCTGAAGCTATGATAAAGAAGTTTGGTAAATCTCCGAAACAATTGAATAATTTATAAATGAATCGCAATTGGTATACATACACTGCTAAATCGATCGGATATTTCTACGCGATGATAAGTGTATACTTGATTATTAAGAGTATTCGTGTGTCTAATGGACTTATTTTCTGATTTTTTTCTTTATGATTTATCAAGCTTAACCTTCTGCATTAAAGGTAAGCAAGTATGTGGATTATGATTTATTATATGCCATTTATCAAAATCTTGACATTCGATATTCTTTCTATTCAAACATTCAAATATTATCTTGTCTCGCGACGTGGGAAATAAATCCATGACCGGTGTAATTTGCATCACGATCAAATCTTTTAACTGAGAAAAAATGTGATTTTCCGAAATTCTTTAAAAAAATCGCAAATATTTAACTTGTTCCTAAATCAGTGTAGAATGACTCAAAAGTAAAAGTGACCGTGAGCTTTTTGGTTGGGAATTGTCCAAATTTTCAGAAGAAAATCATTTCAAAGTGATTGGAGCCACCTAAAGACGTATAGAGTGGAAAAGATTTGAAAAAAACACAAAACAAGAAATCTAATCGAGTTCGAACCGGACTTTCATTTCCAAAACTACGTAAAAAGCTTTCTAAGGATGTCAACTACTGCCTGATTAAGTTTTGTAATGAACCTTAAAGTGTAACACTATGTAGACAATGTGTCGAAAAACATGAAAAAAACGTCAAAAAATGGATGTTTGTAGCACTATACGCATTTTGGGCCTATTATTATAAAAATTATTTTTATGTTAACCAAAAAGCTCACTATTACTAGATATCTGAATCGGTGTTTCAGAAATTTTTTCATATTTATAAGAATACTTATTATTGGGCATTTTTCTTTGTGTACTTTTTGTGGTTATTTTTCACATTATGTCACTGCTAGTTAGATTACCCCCACAAGTGACACAGATTTAGAGGCTGTTGCTTTCTAAGCCAGCTCCGAAAATATCCTCCAGCGTCTAAAGCATGACCTCCCTACATCGCCTGACTGTTAAGTTCAGTAGGTAGGTCCGAGACGAAATGCATAGGCTTTGTTAGCAAAACTTAATTCGCTATACTTCCATTGTTCATCTTTGATTTAGAAATTCTTGATGAATTTTATTCCCTTCAAAGTAACAGACTTTAATTAAATGTGAATTAACTATGTAATTTAGTGAAATATCTTTCATAATTGGATTTGCGTCGGAGAACAATTTTTCAGAAAATCACGCGTGCAAGTAAGCTGCAGTTTTTATTTTATTTTCCACTCAGTGCCTCATTAAACCACTCATACGTGCAACGTTTGTCATCGGAGCTGCGTCGTCTTATCGTGCGGCTAGCTCGTCGTATACGCTCTCTCTCCCCCCGTGGCCTTGAGTTATTGCTCTTGGCCAGTGCCGAGGTCTTTGACGTTTGCTGCACTAGCTGCCAATTAATTAAAGTAATTAGCGCGTCGGGTGAGGGGCGTTGAGAAAGAAAATCGCTCGGGCGCCTTTTGCTCGCTTCGCCGCTCTAATAAGTGCTCTCGGGGTTTTCTCGCACAGCCCACTGGATTCTCTCTCGTTCTCTTGAACCTTCGGCCGGGCAACTTCTATAACTGTATACAGCGCTTTTGTACGATATATATATACACGTGCTCCGTTCTTTTCTTCCATCTCATTCGTTTTATTTCTCTTTGCACGGTGAGAGAGAGAGAGAGAGAGAGAGAGAGAGAGAGAGAGAGCAGTGGCAGCTCGCATAGCTATACACTTCTGAAAACGACAAGTACCGCATATGTACGTGCATGAAGGAACGAAGGATAGCCAGCTCTGAGCGACTGTGGCTTGAGATAAAACCTCTCCTATGAGCTATTAGCCAAAGTACAGATGCTTGAGGTCAATTATGTTTGTAGTTGGCTCAATGATCCTCAGAAGCGTGATTTCCTCTTCCGTTCGTTGGGTCCTGTTGTTGTTATGTACAATGACGTTACTTCTTTGTAGCGTGACAATTAATCTAGAGAGAAATTTTTTCTATACTTGTAAGTATTCAATGTCATTTTATTTCCTTCACATTTGCCAAGTTTCCATTAGAGATAATTGGAGCAAGGATAAAATATCATTTTTCTTTCTAGCAAATAGATGAAATAAAAGGAAAAAAATTAATGTACAAATTGGCGCAAAAATCATCCCCGCTAAATATCAAATTATCATAGTCTCTAACTTTATCCTACTGTCAGCATAAAACCGTTATTTAACTCCAGCGTAGCGTACTGTACCGAATCTAAAGGATAACGTTTTACCAAATGTGAGTGTGTATGTGTGTAGATACACACCACGTGTGCCAGTGGAAAAAAGAAAAAGTTTTCTGCGGTCTGCTCTTTTTTTCGAGAGCTCTGCTGGCCAGGCTCGAGTGGTCCGCTCGACGATTTACACGGGCGCACTGCAGTGCACTTTGTTATTTTATCATACACGGTAAATTTTGCACGCGTCTGTTGACACTATACTTTCTGGAATTCTGCAGCTACCGGTCATGTCACTCGCGATTTCGGTTTTAAAACGACACTCGCGCGCACGTGTGCGTGTTTCGTTTTTTGGTGGAGTCAAAAAAAAAGTTGAAAATTATACGACGTTTGTGTAGTAGAATTGCGTCGGTGCGCGCTCGGCTGCTTTAATTTCTAAAATGTTTCGAATATACAGTGTCCGCGTGCATGGCGGACAACATTTTTTCTAGCGATGGCAAACACTCGCTCGCCAAGGGTGAACAAATAGCAGAATGCAGAGTGTACTTTTTGTTTTACGAATTGCGCTCGTCGGAAAAATGATAAGTAAATTTTTACCTGAAAAGCAATTGCATCTCGTTCGATCCTCGAAAAGTTCTTGAATATCGTATCGATGATCTGTAAAAACTTGCTGCGATCCAGTGCACTTGGATTGTCTTTTTCAAAGTGATCGATAAAGTCGTAAAGTATGAAATACGTTCCTGTAACACAGAAAAAGAAAACATAAAGAGATGTAACAATCGCCTGGTATTTTATTCGCAGCAATAAACTTTATGTACAGCAGTATATATATTTTTCGATTTCTATCAATAAATTGGTATATAGTACGTAGAAAATTTAGTTGCACGCAGGAGATTTTATTCGGGCTTTATGCTGTCCAAGGGAGTGATAGAGAGACAGAGAGAAAGACTTAAACATACATTGCGCAACCTCAAAAACAAAATTGGGTATCGCCCAAGCTTATCGCGCGTCGAGATAAAAAAGCTTCGGACAGCTTTTCCGAGTTTGCAGCAGGGCACGCGAGGGATTCTTTCCACTGTAACTTTGCACAGTCGTGCTTTTTGCATTTACTAGCTCCATGCTGAAAGTACTCATTAACGAGCTCTTTCGGCGCGGAGGATTAAATTATTATTCGCTCAGCGCGGGTAAAAGTGAAAAATTTGTTAGAGCTTTTCGGTTGGGTATATTTAGCAACAATTTACTAAACGTACATTAGGCTTTAACGACTAATTCATTCGAGTCGTTTTGGATTAACCGGAAAGTAGCGAATAAATAACTCAAAGATGGCGGAAAACGCATTACGTGTTATTTGAATTCGATTTGGGAAGACATGAAACATTTCGCCGTTCGGGTATAATGGCTAAAAATGCTATAAAAAAGATGGAACGTGCGTTTGTATCTTATCTCTGAGGATAACACCGACTTTTTGAAATTTTTTGAATCGAGTCAACCAATACACGGGTGAAAAAAAATATCGAAACAAAAGTAAAACAAAGTTCATTGGCGATCAAAAAGTATGGACTGTCCGAGCTGCTCCACCTCTGTGCAGTCGTAATTCGCACAAGTGAGTGTCCAACAGAGACTCCAGGCTTCAAATTTGATTACGATAAAATGTCGACAAGAGAATCGCTGATTGAAAGCATCGCGTAGATAGAGAGAGAAAGAGAGCGTGTGTGCGGCAGAAAGAGATAGAAAGAGAGAGAAAAGTAAAAAATAGATTATCTCGTCCTATCTCGTGAGTGCGCTAACAAGTCCTCGATTTGCTGTATACTCTCCTCTCATTCGTAGAACATTGGCTCGAGACTGGCTCGAAGGGGCAAAGAGAGAAAGAGAAAGAGAGAGAGAGAGAGAGAAACGACTCGTGCAATTCTCATTCGGAACTCGTGGCACGCACACGTTTTCTTTGCGTTCACACGCCTCAAGAAAGTGAGAAAACGTAGGAGAAAGAGATGTACGCTCGTGTGGGTTCTGACGCAAAAAAAAAAAGAAGAAAACGCTAGGAACCAGCAGCGGCACTACTACTGCTGCTGCTGTTTTCTTTTCCTTTCATACTTTTCTCAACGCTATAGTTCGATTCTTTCTTTGGAAGTGCTTCGAGCAAATAGCCACTACTGCAACAGTAGCGCTGCAATGACCGTGTACGAAGCTTGTCATTCCATTCATTGCACATTAATTGCATGAGCGAATGGGAGCGATTGAGAGTTTCGACTGTTTGAAATAGGTTCGAGTGGTTTCGTATTAATTTTTAAAAACCAAATGAATGGAAATTTTACGTTATTTGAACTGCGATACGGTACTCGAAACCAACGTTCGGATCGCCGAGTCTAATTTAAAATATTCAAATTATATACCGAACGAGGAAACGAGGATAGTAATGATAATAATAACAATCGTCTCTTTGGACATTGTTTGAAACATTCTTTCATTCTTCTTAACGAGTCTTTGCGCGATGAAAGTTTCTCCTCGAGAAAATGAGGCGTCGTCGTCAAGCCGCGTGACCAAAATATTTTCATTCTTTCTCTTTCTCTCTCTCTCTCGCTAGATATGCGCACGTTCGGCCTTATCTTTTACGCAAAACTTCACAAAATCCACGAGCGTAATGGGAGCTCCTCTCGGGTCGTCTGAGAAATCTCTTTTAGACAATCAAGCCGCGCACCAGCACCATCAGGACTACTGCCTTGCCAAAGATGTCCCCTAACATACAGTAGCAGTAGATATCTGCATATATACGTATATATTGTACGTAGACACGGAAACCGAGTGAGAGAGGCTCAACAGTCGGAAGTTTTCTCTCTCTCTCTCTCTACTCATGACACTCCATCCATTCGAAATCCAACGGCGCAGAACTTGAGCTATATTTACACCGCTGACAAACTCGAAGATTCCGCAAGAGCTAGGCGAGTAGTATAGAGTATACGGTATGCGTACTGCATATACGTAGTACGCGACGCGGGCGGGTGCCTTTGGTCGGCTCCATGGACTTGCATGCCGGAAGGAGGTTTAACGCCAAACTAGGTCAAACGTATAGTTATACGTGTTACGTGGGGATGCCCTGTGTTGCTGGGAGGGAGGATTCGGAGAAAGAAAAGGTGCGTGTCGTTCGACGCGTCTTATATTCATTTTTCACTTTTATTTATCTCCGAACTACTAAGCAACTCCTTTTTTACAAGTAATTCATAAATTTGTTAAAGCTTATTTCTCTCCTCTCGCTACAGTTAAGACGGCTCGAAAGACAGAAGAGCGAAAGACGCAAGAGCTGTCTAGGACCGCTCATATATGCGTTTACGTGTTTGCAAAGTATTGTATATGCATGCGTCGACGTACGCACGCGTATACTTCCATAGCTCATTCGGATTCACTTCATTTTTGCTTTAAGTGTTACTATTTCTTTTCTTACTATGTTTTTTCTTCCTATTTTTTTCGATGTACTTTTATTCTACTTAAATTCTCTCTCAGCAGCCACCATCGTTATCTCTTTCTCGACGGTTCCTGTACGACAAGTGCTTGCCGATGCCTGTGAAACGCTTCGAAGATAGTAACAAACGAAGTCTTAGAGCTGCTAGAAACTTTTACTGTCAATCATTCTTCGCTTTACACGCGCTATTATGCAGTATAATTTGTTTGTGCTTGAGTAACGGCATAAATAAGTTTAAAAAAATACAGACGCTTGGTATATTACAAAGATGAAAATTTTTACAATATTCTTAGATCAAATTATGTAGTTGAAAGGTTGAAGTTTCTTTAAACTTTTTCATTTACATCTAAAATAACAAAATTCAATTCAAGTCAATTGCAAACAATTTTTTAAACGACAGTTTTCAATCGTGCCGATATTTTGGATTATCGAAATGGTACTATATGTTACAAAAAAAAGAAACAAAAGAGAAGAAAACGTTAAAAGGAACTAGATTAGATGTGTATAGCAGTCTCGAGAGGGCCAACTTTCCCGGAATTCCCAGAGGTGTACAAGTGCCTAGTGCGGGCTGGCGCGTAGCAGTGTCAGTATAGCTTTTGCGTGTGCGAGTGGAGCTATAAAACCCGAAAGCAGACATCATTGGTGACGAAAAATCTGCGAAGCGACTCGAGGGCTGCGAGAAGAAAAAACGGAAACAAGCGAGCATACTTACATAAGAACAAGGCAAAAAGCTCGTGTCTGCTCGCTGAAATATGGAAGGAACAGTCGGAGTCTTCAGTAATATAGTAGTAGTAGTAGTAGCTGGTGCGCGCAAGCGGTAACAAAAAAAAAGCAATCGAGATAGAAAATATGACGATGGAAAACGAAAGACATTTCGAGTGAGAGACGCGTTGTGCCGAGAGTGAGCCGTAAGTCAAAGATCTTGGGGGCATCCCCGAGAGAAGGAAGAAAGACGAGAGGAGTCAGAAATTTCGAGTGCGCGTCGCAGCGACTGGAATACGCGCGCGCAAGAAACGAAAGTATATATGAACTCGCGAGCGTAAGTAAGTCCCTTCCCGCGGAAAAACGAAAAGCGTTATAAGTTTTTCGCGTGCGCGAGCGACATTTTAAATGAGCACGATGGATACATACGGGCAAAGACGTATAACAAGAGAGTACTTTGTCCGAATAGACATGCGCGCGCTCCGCGCGAGAGAGAAGGTCGCGTACTTCTTCCACATTCTTTTTATTCTTTTCGTTGTATTTTTTAGCCCCGAGAAGCGTCGTCGTCGTCGTCGCGAGCGTGACAATACAGAAGAATGAGAGAAATAAAGTAGAGTGTGTAAAAGTTAGATGAAATGAAAAGAAAAGTTAGATGAATACAAATGAAAAATGCAAGCGCGCGAACGAGCATAGACAATGGTTTTTATCACCAAGGATGAATGAATTTCTCGAGCTTTCACCTTGGCCACGCGAAAATGCCAGAGGTGTAGAAAAGCGATGAATAATAAATAACGGCATAGTTAAGTTGACAGTAAAGCGTCGTAAGAGCCGCCAAAAGATAAAGAAAAGATAGATAAGATTTTGAAACAAAGAAAGGGAGAGAAGGGGGGGGGGGCTGAGAAGGGTCAGCTTGGAGGAATAAATGACAGATAAACAACGGAAAGACAAGTAAAATTATGTATGACACTGCTGCATAAGTCAACAAGCAGCTCGAACAAATCAAGCGACTGAATGTTGGATGTATATACAAGCGATATGATACTGAAGGACAAGCCAAAGAGTATCATGAAAAATTCAGACTGCAGTTCTGGAATAATAGAAATAAATGGGAGCCTTAGCGCGGATGCATTATGCAGTTCAGGTTTTCGTATTCTTTTTTCGAAAAAAAAAGATGTAGTAAATCGAAAGTTAAATGCCGTTTCTTATACATGTAATACTAAGGTAAAGTGGCGCGGCTGTCAGATGCTACTTGGGCGAGGAGGAGGAAGAACGAAAGGCGGCGGAGGATGCCGTGTGCGCCTGACGGAATAGTACCTGTGCACGGCAGCCCAGCTAATACCCGTGTCTAGTACCCTCCCTGTGTGTATGTACACTATATATATACATATAATAAACTCGCTATGTATAGTATGCAGGTATACGTGGCCGGGATATGCACGTGTCCCTGCCCCGCGGGCTCGCGCAGCCGAGTCACTATCGATTCAACACCGGCAACTTGTTGGTTCGGCTCCTGCCCCTGTGTATACCTGCCGCTGCTTACTCCCAGCTAATAAATCTATCTATATATATAAAGCAGAAATGATG